TTATGCTTGGAAGTAAGCCCCCTGAGAGCTTCGCGGTCAAACCCCTTAAAGCGCTTCGCACACGGAAAAAATTAAATTGCTGATTTAACAATTCAATTGCTAAAAAAAAGTGACTGCAACGTTTCATCGTAGATTTTACAACAAAAAAATGCCACTTCAACCACTATTATTTAACCACGGGGGTGGTTGAAGTAGCATTTTTTTGTTGTAAAATCTACGTTGAAACGTTGCAGTCACTTTTTTTAGCAATTGAATCGTTAAATCAGCAATTTAATTTTTCCGCGATACCTCAAGCGGTATCCGTTACGCGTTACTCTTATAATTACAAATTTTATAGTATAATACATTTTTCCAAAATTTTTAAATCAGGAAAAGTCGGGGAACTCTTCATCAACCATAGCGGATTCCAACATTTTACCATGACTACATTTAATATCACCATCAACTGCTTGTAATGTCATCATTTGGTAAGAAATGTATTTTTAGAATTTTACAGTTAGGATCCTCACTGTAAGAATGCTGTGGGTGCTTTTGACTGGTTAACCTAAAAAAAACTATTGAAAATGTCAATCCAAGCCCTCTCAATGACCTACCGTGAAAAACAGTGACCACCTAAATATTTATTAAAAACTGGAATCATTACGAAGAAGAGGAAATCAGAGATGAGGGAATAAAGTAGCTCAGTTAACCCTATTTTAAGCTTTTTCGGATCTGATCCCAACCAATGCAATTCAGATTGGTGAGAACGGGCGTTTCCCAATGCATCCCTGAAGATGAGATGCGGAACTTAAATACAAGGCTCGGTACTAGTATTTTCCCTCCTGAGAAAATTGGAATAATCGTTTCAATCTGGTAACTCTGTAAACAGATCACAAGAATAATATTTTCCTACCGCGAAAGCGAGTCGCCCACCCCTCCTTCTTCCTCAGCCAGTTCTCTTCCGCCTTGTTTTATAAATGCTTCCATCCCGTCTCCCCCTCCCCCTCCTTCCCGCNCCCCCCCCCCCACCTGCTTTGAGTGCGGACCGCTTTGCGCAGTCCTGATGACGGTGTGACGGAATGCGTCTTTGGCCATACTAAAATTGAGGAAGCCGTTTTCCGAGTCCCGATTTCTGATCGATTTGTGTACATAAAACCAGCATTTGTTAATTCGTCGCTTGGATGACATAAGGGCGTAACTGCACATTGAGATGAGCCCGGAAAAACATTGAAATGTATGGAAGACAGGGTTCATGGCAGAGTGTAGTTACGCCCTTATGTCAGCCAAGCGACGAATTATCTGATGAACCATAAAACAGAAGTATTTTTGTGGATCTTGGGGCTTATCAGAAAATGAATCTCTTTGGCTCTGACGTAATATTGCCTGCGGAGGAATTCCACCAATCAGTAACTCGTAATTACACTTTTATCTCAAAAATCCGACAACATTGACGGCCGTTCACAAATTAAGTCATGAGCTACGCGGAGGAAAGGGGGAGGGGGCTTCATGTTAGCGTGACGCGTGCGAGATGGGAAGATGGTAAGGGAAATTCACGCAGCCTCATGCAGATTGGAGCCGATTTTTGGTCCTTCAATTCACAAAATCAGAGTTAATTGCTGAATTACGCTGAAGAGGGGACGAAGGATACTAAATAAAATACGAGGTAAATTTTTCGAGGGTTCAGGTCTTTCGCCAATGACATGGCAAAGTGCTCTCAAATACCTAATGTTTTGGAATTTTGAGGGCAATCAGCGTGGTAATACATCTCTAAGAAAATTGACAAGGTCGTTATAAAAATGAGTAATGGTTCACTTCATCGGTACAATAAGCAACACTGGAATTAATTTAAGGTAAAAGAGAAACAATCAAAGCTTCAGTTAGTGTCGTAAGCAACGGATACCTAACGAATTTCATTTTAACGCCTGGATACAACTGTTCGAGCTCCATGGATGCCCGTGTTGCATACGCACTTAAGGGAAGGCGTTTTGACTTCTCAGACACCGACCGCCTCACCAGTGGTGCTCATTGTCAGTCGAGCGAGTCAATGAAAAGTCGTTTCATGGTCTGTTTAGGAAAAATTCGAGCGCGCCCCTCAACATATTTGTATTATTTTCCCCACTGAGGAGTTAAAAAAAGTCAAGTCAGAACTGCGCATCGCTAAAAAATGTGCAAATAGGATCGGTCAAAAATGTGAACCATTCATTAAAACCGCAAGTGGATTTCAAAAATATCGGGAGGCGACCCGAGAAATTTTTACGACTTCGACGGGAGTGGAGGCGGAGGCTGGGATCGCGCAAAGCAACAGAGAGACAACGGGACTGTATCGCCTATTAGTAAACAAAACCTTCCTGATGTAGAAAAAAAAATTCAGGAACTTTATAGGCTCAAATCTGATCGAATTTGGCAAATTGTCAGACTAATCACTTCGCTAGCCCAAAAATGTCGTGAGGTGCGGCTCGAAAGATAACTATATCTTACTCATACAAAAAAAAAAAACACATAGATGCCCTAAATTGGACCGCATTTTGCAATTTAGAACTATAAATTACGACTTTACTGGGAACAACACTTTCGTGCATAGGGAAACTAATGGCACATACGTTGTTTTTAAACCGGGCTAGAATTTATAGTTCCAAATTGCAAAATGTAGTCCAATTAATAGGATCCCCATAGTACGCTTCAGCACCAACCGCGATTCCTAAGCGCGGAAGCCATGTTTGCCAGAAATCGAGTCCTAAGAATGAGCCTCTCAATGTGTTTCAATAAGAACATTACGAAGATACCGCCGTAGAAGGTCACGACTAGTGAACGTCGTGGTCGGTTTCGTTTATTTTTTGATGCGCGTCTACGCACAGCCCCCCCCCCCCCCCCCCNTCCCAAGCCCACCGCTTGCGAATCGCCTTCCGGGAATCAGACTGCCTAGCGCCCATCAGGGAGCCGGACCCCCTAGTATATGTAAACATTGGTCTAGGTCTAAACTATGCCCAGGGATGCAGTTCAAAGCTAATCTCTCGTCGCAGGTGTACGCGCCGTACGCTGAGAAGATTGATTCCCCCGAAGAGTAAACAAGAACCGCAATTTGAATGACAAGCTGACCTACTTCCTGCGAGGGAGGCGATGGCATGTTTAAACTCCGGAAATACGAAAACTCAATTTTCTTCGCCTTTAATGTTCAGTCTTACTTTATTTATTTACTTTTTTTTTAGAAAAAAATTATAACAAACAATTTGCCATTGTTTTTGAAAGACCGATAATTTTTCCGTACTGTGTAAAAATTATTTGGGGGGGGGGGGATTCTTGCGATGGATAATTGGATCGCGTTAAGCAGAATGGAACCAAGTCACATTACATTAAGCTAAATTTAATTGGACAGTTTAGTTTTTTACATAAAAACGGTTGTGCGGATTTTTGTGCAATTTTCAGTGAATTTTCGGCATGGTGCAAAGCGAATTCCTTACTATTTTCAAAGGAATCCACACAAACGTTCTCAGTTTTTAATCAGCATAATTAGGAGCATTACTAGATCACGCCTCTCGCCATTGCGCCTTCAATTTTTCAGACGCAATACGGACATCCATCGAGTACGAATAGTGGTATCTCTGCGCCGTCATCCACGCGCCTCGTTTCCCTTGCTCTGCTTCCATGTTCTGTTTGTTCCGTTTGTGTTTTTTGTAGTGGTACTGCAAGTGCTACGTGAGTAACATAGCTGAGGATACGAGAGACGTAATCGGACCTTTTTTTTTTTTACTTTTTTCCCGAAACTGAGCGATAATTCATTGTCAGCATAAATAGGAGCATGCAAGATCACGCCTCTCGCTATCGCGCCTTTAATTTTTCAGACGCAACACGGACATCCATCGAGTACGAATAGTTGTATCTCTGCGCCGTCATCCACGCGCCTCGTTTCCCTTGCTCTACTTCCATGTTCTGTTTGTTCCGTTTGTCTTTTTTGTAGTGGTGCTGCAAGTGCTACGTGAGTAACATAGCTGAAGATACGAGGGACGTAATCGGGCCTTTTTTTTTTACTTTTCCTCCGAATCTGAGCGACAATTCTTTGTCAGCATAAATAGGAGCAATGCAAGATCACGCGTCTCGTAATCGCGCCATCAATTTTTTAGATGCAACACGGAAGTCCATCAAGTTCGAATAGTGTTGTCCCTCTGCGCCGCTATCAGTGCGTGCTGAAGTGTCTCTAATTTTTGAAATTTCAGAGAAGTCAAGGTTAAGTTTGCCTGAAATATGCCACACTGCGTTCAAAAGAATCATGATTTTGAAGGGAGAAAAAAGAAAGAAAAGAAGAATTTTGGAGATCTCTCAATCGCCCTATCTTTTCTTTTCTATACTATAAGCTTATATGTAAAACGTAAAAAATTAAATTGCCCCCTTAAATTTGGCAAAAGCTTGGCCCGTTAACGCAGTGCGATTCATTCGACCCCCCCCCCCTTCCAAAATAAGATAGGAGCAAAAAATTCAGGACGTCTTTTTCCGTTTTAAACTGGGATCTTCGTTGCAAGGACAAACATTTCGATGGTCGTTAGAATGGGCGGCGAATAAAAATCTTTATAGCTCCAATAAAATCGTCGCAACAAATCTGAATGAACTTTCCCGCATAGAAAAACTTTCAAAGCGGGGGAAAAATCAGGCCTATTATCATTTATTCGAGGGCAAAGAAAGAGCGCTGTCGTTGAGGATTCTATAGCCGAGCGGCTAAAAATAAGTTTTCGCTGACAATCCCAAAACTACCTTGAGCTTTGGAGAGCAGACCTATTAAAGCTCCTAAATTAAATGATAAAAAAAAAGTCATTGCTAGACAGAAATAAGGGGGGGAAGAAGCGTAAGGGGGCAATTTATTCGAATTCTCAAAATGACCTACTTCTCTCAGCAGACGTGAAGCAAGTTGTGAAAGAAACTGGAGTGTGAATTCCCGCCATAATCCAAGGCCGAAAGCCTGTCTGGCGCGGCCGGCGCGGAGGGATACATCGAACCTCGGGCGGTGCCTCTGACTGTTTCTCCCCTCTACTCGTCGTTTCTCTGCCAGTTCTCCAGCGGTCGCAATCTGTGCCGTGTGTGTGCGCTCTCCGTCTACGTTGTCTGCCGGCTTCTGAGTTCGTGGGTGTTCCTCAATTTTCTGCATTAACTGCTCTCGAAATTCGCTCGAATCATCAGTGTTTCGATACAAAGTTGGTTTCATTCAGCAGTGTTCATACTTTCATAATGTCTTGTCTTGTTTTGTACCGGTGTCGATCCCGTAATTTGTTTCTGAACTTGCCTCTGACGCCCAAGTCAAGACGATAATTTCGGTCGCCGATTCGTAATTGTGACAAGTTACCTCAAGTGTTTTCGTAAAGTGTCCATTGGATTACCTCTCTCTCTATTTGGATTATCATTGTTTACTCAGGTAAATGCAAGTTATGATAAATCGTAGTTCTCTTGTGATGTTCTTTTTTCGTACCGGCCGGCGCGGCGTCTTGTCATGCCGCCGGCCGGCTTCGCCGCACCGGCTACCGGCATATTACATCCCATGCCGCCCCGCCTGACTCCACTACATGTAGTACCCTGTCCCACCAAATACGTGAGATCTTTCGTCTAGTCTGGGGAGTTATCGGCTTTTTCTGTCCCATTTACGCCCACTGTTTTATCTTTTCTTATCTTCCTTAGATTTTTTATTTTACTGTCGTTGTCATTTATTTAACTCCCACTTGACTTTCTCACGAGTTTCCCTTTCTACAGATCCGAGTCAAAGCGATTTACTAACACAATCACTTGTACTTATTCTATCGAAATACAAGTGTATTTCATATCGTAAGTTAGCAAACTTCATTTAATGTAGGCTCCCTTCGAGGGTTCGCGTCACAACTAAAACATTTTCACCTTCGGTCAAACAAATTTTAAGTCCTTTTATTACCCGGTCATAATCAACGAAACCTTTCGTTTAAAATGTAATGACAGTTCATCTATCCGTCACATCACAATCGAGTATTTCCAATACGTATTTCTGATTCTCGTCCTCTCATTTCTGATTTGATCAATTAACTGGCGATTTTCTATCTAATAAGTATAGCGGCTGTCAGAAATGTGAGTGTTCGTACCCCCTTCACGGATTCCCTCCTATAATTTACGTCATTACGTCCTCTTGAAGTATTTAACACTGTTGTTAAATTATGTTTTTATGCTCCAAGTGCTAACCCGTATCCGAATGAATTAAAGTAAATTGAAGTTTCGCAAGCGATCGGACTTCTCGCCGCCTCCCCATCTGTTCGTAAAGGGAAGTGAGGGGAGATATTGCTAGCCCAAGTCCAACTTCCGTTTTCATTTGATCCAATTTAATACTTCCGCGACTGTCTAGGTCAGTTGTCCAATTTCGATATCGCTTACGCATGTCCATTTTTTCCCCGAGTACGATGTCATGTCTCAAGAATCTAGAATGGATTCGTTTCCATTTGAGTTCGTGCGATTTTTCTCCAGCTTTTTTTTTCTCAGAATCTCGAATTTTTTCAACTCTGACCTCTGACAGGTTATAATTTGTCTCTCGTTCTAACGTAAAATCGGATAGTCTCATTTCTATTACTTTAAAGGGTGTCTTATGGGACGAAATAATGTAAAGAATAACTCGGACCTAACTCTCTGAATTCGCTACGGCTCATTTTCAATTATTACCAGATTCCCCTGTCAGAGCTAGACCTATAGTTTGTTAGAGTATATCTTCGCTTTCTGGCCCGTTGCTGTTACGTAATGCCCTTTTTCCCTGATTAGAACGCGGAGATAATCGTCAAGATTGATATGGCTGTCGCTTTCGCGATTGTACTCGGCAGGTGTATCCTATCCGTCTCTCTTGCTCAGTGCATCTATCAGTTGACGAGTGCGGCGAGTTTTCCTTTTGACTAACTGAATGTACACGTCTTTCAAAGTATGGGGGCGTGTACTATTTATAATTTCAAGTTATGGTTATTTTAATTTTACTTTGCAGACAGTCGACCTCCCGTGAAACTTATTTCGCAACGACCCAGACAACTTTCATTCGAGGTTTTCTTTAATATTCTGCATTGCTACGTATTTAAAACTCTCATAGCTTGACTGACACTAGTATGACATCAGCTTTTTTTTAAAATTTGTATGACTTTTAATGCGTGTTTAAGTAATGTTGGGAACGTAAAAGCGTAAGTGCTAAAGCTTCCTTTCGGGGTCTCCGAATCTCTTTTCTCATTTAACTTCTATGGAAACATCATGTTGACCCCTACCGAGAAAAATGTTCCAACCCAACTTGAAAATTATTATGTACACACTTTCACAGAGGGATTACTTTTTGAAATTTCGTTATGTGGTTATTTAGGTCAATGGAGAATTTGCACGCAATTTTTTTATTGCTTCATCTGAAAGTGCCTAATGAGCTGAGTTTGCAATATTTTTCATAATTTTTTTCTGACATGGGAAATTGGAGAAAAATTGATTTAAAAGTGAGAAAATGTGCCGCCTTGTGACGTCATCTGGCGGCATTTCCCATTTAAACACATGTATTTTAGCAGAATCGGTTATTTTGTCATATCTCCTCTAATAATTGCTCAATTTATGAATCAAGGGTATCTTCGTGCTCAGTTCACTCAGAAGATTCCACTTAAACAGGAAATTCATCAAATTTCAGACCCTTGCAAATTCTCCATTGCGTATGCTTTATCATGCTCATTTATCTTAATAGGAAAGTAATGAATGTGGTAAAGCCGGGATCACAACTTTCGATTGGGAAATTAAGTAGATAGTTCATCGATTAGCCGATGGTATTTGACCTTTAGAAAACTTTTTACGTAATCTCTGGAAGTCTTCAACGTCCTGAGTAGTTCCCACTGATCGTTCATCCCTTAAATTGAATCGTCATTTTCACGATTGACGTAATATAAGGGAATGAAACTTATGACGAATTATAAGTCCTAATTCATCTGAACTCGAAGAGTTTAAAAGGGGGGGGGGGAATTGTTTTCATCACATACTTAACTAGAAAACAATTTTTTCCTTGGGTTGTGTGATTGGTTAATAGACAGCCTTACAATTAAGTTTGCAATGATTATAAAATCAGTAGGAAAAGGCCTGAAAGCTCTGATGCCTAGTGTTGTGCTTTAGTTTTCAACATTTTGCCGTTCTTAACACTGATAGAAAAAAGTAGCTTGGATCAAGAGTCCCGACTCTTCAAAACATTGACAAGAAAAAGTGCTCTTGATTCAATCGGATTTTTCCTTGAACCGAAGAGCCAAGCCCCTTGATTTAAGCGGATTTCCATTTTAATCAAGAGTATTTTTTCTTGACAATGTTTTTAAGAGTCTGGACTCTAGATCCAAGCTTCTTTTTTACCAGTGAACGCTTCGTAGGATGAAATCCCTCTCCTCTTTCTGAAACTTCAGATTTTCTGAATTGGCAATCTTTGACGATATTTGACTTTGGCTCTCTGTCGCAGGTATCAGCGCTTGGATGATGCCTGTTCGCTACGAAGATCCAACCCTGGATCTTGAATTGTTGTCTCGCTTCGACGTCAGTGAATACATGGATGAGCTCGACGAGCTGCCGGCCTCCCTGCCCAGCGAGGATGTCTGGAAGAAGTTCGACCTCCTGGACATGGCACCCACCCTCGACATGGCCCACACGCTCCTGGACGAGCACGTGGACCTCGGCACGATAATGGAAGACCTGGACATCGTCCCCTCCTGCCCGGCCCCGGAAGTGAAGAAGGAGCAACTCTACTCCTGTTGCGGCACCAAGTGCGACCGACACGACTGCATGTGGGGCGGCTTCTGCGCCTCCAACGACCACGGCAAGTCATGCGGAAGCGAAGTCACCTCGCTGCCCCCGGCCGCCCTCACCACAATCAAACAGGAGCCCCCCGAGCCGGAAACGCTTCCTCAACCCGCACAACCCTCCCCGGTCAAGATCAAAACGGAGCCAGCCTTCGATTCAGTGCCTGCCGCTGCCGTGAAGCGCGAGTGTGAAAGTGTGAGTGTGTCCACGGTGGACAATACCAAAGTCGTGTCGATCACGACGCGGACGCCAAGTGATGAGCCCCCCCGACGACGCTATATCGTTCAACGGACCGTTTCCCGCGCCTCCACCTCGCCGGCCCCGAGAAGTGTCGTCTCGGCCACGATCAGCCTTCCAGCCAACAAAGTCCCCGGCAGCTGTGTCTCCATCGTCAAAGTGTCCCCGAGTCGGCCGGAGACCCCGCAGTCCCTCCCCGAGTCGGACGACGAGTCGACCCCGATCCCTTTGAACAACGCCGGACAGGCCCTCCTCAAGTCGGCCATCGACACCATCATCGGCTCCGCGACGGTGCCCTCCTACGAGCCGTGGGACGCCGAGGACTCGGCCGCCCTCGCCAGTTGGCCCGCCTCCGAAGTGACCGGACAAGTGCGAAGGACTAGTGCCCCGACCATTCGCGAACGTGTCAGTGTCACCGACTCGGACCACAGTTACGGCATCAAGCTACCCCCCGGACCTACCTATGGCTCGCCGATCAAGGCAGAGGATCTTGGAGTGCAGACACCCTCGGATTCCGGTGAGTTCACGTTTTGTCACTACTTTGCCTTAGTTTCTAGACATCCCCCCCCCCAAATTACATTTGAGAGAATTGACCCCTTCTGCATAAAGTCCTCTCTAAATAATGCTTGGAGGGATAATTTTGAAGTCTGCACTTCTAGTTTCAAGTTTTCCACCGTACTTAACCCCAATTGGAAAAAAAATATTCCTAAGCCACGAATTCGACTCTAATTTTGTCCATTATTTACCGGGTTCCGTCCTCTCATCATCGAAGGGAAGGTAAGGGGATGTTTTCAAGGTCCCCCAGTCGCTTCAGTGAAGCTAATGCATCACATTAATGAAATACCTAAAAAAAATTGTACCTTAACCACGTATACTCATGTAGAATGATCGACATTCGGATATTTTTTTCAGTTCATCTCTTCATTACTAATCTGTACATAGTAAGATAACGTGTATGATATGACCATGTAAATGGGCCTTTATGCATCCGGCGGCGGAGAGTGTGCAATTATTAAGTTCAAGAGCGAGGCAGTGTCTATACGGAGACACGGTGAAGAGAAAGAGGAAAGAAATTGACCTTCTAGGAAAGTGAAAGGTTGCCCACGCAGACATGGCTCTAGCGACGTGAAAGGTACTGTGGGTGCTTCGACGGATAGCTTTTAACGAAAGATAGAGAGAGAGGGAATGACGAGATGAACTTTCTCAATCGAAGTCAATCTTATGAGGTTGCTAAAATAACACGAATGTAAAGCAAAATGAATCGTTGGTCGGGCTATAAAATCTCGTATCAATCAGTTCCGAAACTAGCGTAGCGGATTTGAGAACGATGAGCGAAAGAATGCCGTCCGCGTTCGGACGCGATGCCTCCGTGTTCGGCACGTCGCCAGTGATGTGCTTTGACGTCATTAATAACTGACTTACTTAAGTGGAAATGCAAATGGCTTTTTTTCATTTTCGGAAAAAAATCCGTCCGATTTTTCAATTTTTTCCCCGAATCATCCACCACACTTAAACCCGCTTCACATTCGCTGAATTCGTGAGCTATCACGCGTGATTTTACCTCTGCACCGTGTACGACTATTGCTGGAATTTCAAAGTGGGGCCAGTAATGTAGCAATATCGAATTTATATCACTGTCAGCTTGATTACTTCCAGTGTAGATTCATGGCTCCTCACTCTTCTCAGCACGCACCGATAAGAAATTGATTTATGGTAAAATTATATGAGTAATGAGTATGGTCATCACCAACAGACTCAACGGTAGTAAATACTGCAACTATAAGTAGCACTCATCAAAAGTACACTGGAAAAAAAGCTCTTGGATCATGAGTCCAGACGCTTAAAAAATTTGACATAAAAATAAACTCTTGGGTAAATGGGATATTTGCTTGAATCAAGAGCCAAGCCGCGTAAGTTCAGCGTATTATTTTGATTAAAGCGAAAATCCGATGGAATCAGCGAAATTTTTCCTGTCAATTTTTTTTTTTAGTCTGGACTCGGAATACATAATTCTTTTTCTTTCAGTGAACAGTAAATGCTACCATGCATCTGGTCATACTTACCCTCCAGCATTTGTGTGTTTAAGAGCCCAATCATAGTATTTACGTTACTTCTGGTAAAATTGGCCGTAGCTTCTTTTTTTTTCAGTCCGGTTAATTCACCTCCTCTCCCCCCTTCCTTGTCTTGAAACGCGTTTTCCTCAACTTATGCCACGCGCGAGGCTCGGAGTGGCGTTTCGGGGCGCACCTTAAGCGACTTGCCGCGAAAAACTCCGGCTCGGTGGCTATATACTTCTTCTTATGAATGGGCGAATGAAAACGACTGTCAACGGCACCCATTTCGACGGATTGCGCAACTGCGCTAGCCGTGCACACGCGGCACGGCGCCCCGCCCCTCCCGCCGAAACGGGCCGTGGGGCGGAGGGGGGTGGCGCGAAGCACTAGAATGAGATCCATTGCCCTCTCCCAAGGCCGCCCGGCCTCTCGAGGTTAGGTTTCATCTGTCAATTGAGCGAGTTACGCCGGCGTGCGGCTATTATTATTTTACGTGATGATAGGTGCATTTCGTGTAGGTATCGAAGATACCCTGCAGGGACCCGCAGGGGCTGCTGGACCAAGGGATTCGAAAGGTATTCCCTACAAATAAACCGCTTGAAAGGGTGTAGAAAATATGATTCCGTATTCAAACACGCCAATTGAGCACGGAGTTTTTCCATCCCCATGAGTCAAATTTTTGGCTTAGTGGAGTTCAGGTAAATGATTGATGACTAGCCCCAGTCATTTCCAGGTGGATCTTAACTAGAAGTTACATATCTGCAATCGACAAATTTTCCTCCATTTACTTGTTCCACTTTGAATTTCTGGCATAAATCAGATCAATCGAATTGGAAGGCGGATTTCAGTTGCTTGTTCCCAGAAAACTTGTCGGTTAAACCCTGATATAAAGCTGTAAATGTCCAATCGTGAAATATTGCATCCAATTGGTAGAATCAAGTAGTCGATATTTATCAAATACGGACACTTTCAGCCTTAATTCCGGTTTTATTTAGGGGTTCTCTGGGATTGAGTAGCAGCATTGTGCCACCAGGCGCAGTAGATCCGTTTTTTGCCAGGTTATGAAACAAGAAAACTGAATACAATTTGTTCGAATGCAAAGTCTCCACGTTAAATGTCACCAGAGACAAGGGGTTAATTTCGTCATTTTCCATTTTCCTCTTTGGAAATGGAATCATTCAAGAATATCCCGTATAACTTCCCCTAGGCTTTTCAGTTGAAAGAGAAAAAAACATCACGAACAAAATAACGCGATGTAAATCAACTGAGATGCCTTTCCGAAAGATAAACCCGGCATTTGAATAAATCGCAAAGCGTAAAACAATGAAGGAATCTTCGGAGTTGGGTTCGAACCTAACATGCAACTATATCAACTCCGCGGACGGCCGGGTTGCATACGCTCGATTTTGCGGGCGAAATCTGAGATCTGTCAACGGCTTACGTACGCTCGCGATAGTGATCATGGACAAGCAAACTTCGCGTTTGGATGGATCTTATTATTTTTGCTAATCTTACAGCTTAAGCCATCAAACATGATTCATTAACCAGCGCAATTGACCCATTTGGCTCCAAGATAGGTTTACGCTAAGCTTCTCAGTTTTTATTTGTCAACCAGGCAACAGGTATTTGCGATTGCATAGCGGAATTCGCTCGAGTAAGCACCCACCCCGTTAATTCCAACATGTTTTTTATCAATAAAATATTCTAACCGGGTGTTAATTTACGGTAATTCGTAGGGCGTAGTTCATTCCCCATTTTTTGCTCGTTCACACCTTGAAAGTGCATGGAAAGCGACCTTCTCTTTCAGGAAATCGCAATGCGTGCACTTACTTATCGAGGGGTGGGGACAGGTATCGGCCAGTCAATGGATTTGCATACATTAAATGCATTTTCCACGATTAACCGCTACTTCTCGTAGTTTTTCTCGGCGGACGAGTGTCTCCTTGCGGAGGTTTATGATTCGATACCCAGCGAAACTGGACGGAAGAAATTGTATCCGGCAGCCGCGTAGGACGTTGCGATATATCGATTGATGTGCCATTTAAATCTATGAAACAGGATCGATAAGCAGGGTGTCACCTTAATAATCGATTCTTTACCACAGTTTCCAATGGGGATCTATCGATAATCGATCACTCAGGCCTCGCCACCGAGATGGAGCCGTTTTAATAAACGGCACCCATTAAACAACTCGTGAGAATGCAAATCGGGCACTTGAGACACTTACACCGCCTCGGCCGGGTTCAGTTTTGTTACGTGTAATTCAATCCTGTGAGAATACGAGGAAGGCATCCCGGTGGTGATGCCCCTGAGTCGGGGACCCTGGATCACCCCCGCGGCCACAAGCACAACACTACTCGCAGGTCTTTGTTCGACTTGCTTTCTCTCTGCTTCGATGAATCCAATCAAAACCAATGTAGCGCTGCCAGTTGCTCCTGAAAAAATATTGAAATTCTCGAGTGATTATCTCTCGAGGGCATGTTGTGCTCGGTAGAAACCGCGGATAAGCTATGGGTTTCCATCTGAGATACTCGGTTCTTAATCGTTAGCAGGGCAGGAGTATCCTCCTGGGCTTCGTGTGCGCGATGTGAATGGGCTAGTGGCGCATGGCGCCTCTATTCGAATCTTCTTCTGACGCACTCAGATAAAGAGCGAAATATGCCCAGATAAATCCGAGCGCCGATTCTCCTTGTTAAATTGGACTACATTTTGTAGTTTGGAACTATAATTTCTGGCTCATCTGCAAAAGCACTTACGTGCATAGGGAAACTAATGGTACATAAATTGTTTCTAAACTGAGCCAGGAATTTCAGTTCCCAATTGCATAATGTACTCCAATTAAACCAGGCACTAGCACTAATCATCTTTCGGGAACAGGGCCGCGTTTTTTCACGAAAAATTCAATTTTGGATTTTCCCGTGAAATATATCGTGAAATCTTGGGAAAATAAAGACGAAATCGAAACATATTTTTCGAAATTAAGTGGAAGGCAAATGGTTTTTGCTTTTTCGCGTTGCTCAGTGCGTGTTGCATACTCAGCCCCTAAAAATGTGTTTCATATTTTTCAGAGCTTTGTAAAATTTCATAAATATTGCACGGGAATTTCTAGTCGTTCATATTTTTCATTTCGCTATTATCGTGTACGGATAACACGCGAATAACCTAGCCCACAGCTTTTATTTGGTCTCATCCGCGTTACAGGTACCAAAAGGCCAAAGGTATTGCAGTTTTTGACGAGATTCCGGTAAGGCATCACTCGCCGTGTATGTTAAAACTGAAGTGTTGTACACATACTTGGAACATTGAAGTAGCAAATAAAAAATCTCATGTAGGTTACTCAGACGAGGCTCAATTTTGTGGCCTCTCCAGACAGTTTAGATTTTTATCAACCCGCATCTGTGTATAATGAAGCCAATCAACGCGACTGTGAAGCTTTATGATGATGATGAATTATTGTTGCATG